GGCACGGCGCGGGCTCGGGTCCCCCCGTCCCCCCGTCGTGGCTCGATTCCTGGGGGCAGGGCTTGCAGCAAGCCCCGCCCCCAGGAATCGGGCCCCGCTCTTGCTAAAGCCGGCCCTGGGCACAATGGCTGCTAACGAGCTCTCTGAGGCTCCCAGAGAGTGGGCTCTCTGCAGCCTGTGATGTGGGTACCTGGGTGGACCAGCAGGGGACCTTGACAAGGGTCATGGTGGAGCTGCAGTTTGGGGCTGTTTCTAGAGTACAGGCAGGTGTGATGCACTGAATGGGTAACTCAGGAAGTTCACTGTTTTGAGAGCTCTGTGCTGGGACGGGCACTAGATGGGGCACTGGCTTCATGTATGAAGCTGCTCACAGCAGCATCAAGTCCAGAGGCGCCGCCTCCCCACCGGTACTGGCTCTGTCCTGGGACCTTTGCCCATTGGTACTGGCTGTTTCAGTCCCAGGTCCTTCCTGCTGCCCTCAGCAGACAGAAGGGCTGGGATGGCGGAGAGCTGGAAGGAAGTTTGCACAAGCTCTGCCTGTGGCACCACTGCTCCTATCCTGAGTCACTGTCTTGGAGGTGGATTCCTGCCCCTCCCAGTGGGCAGGTCTCCGGTAGAAATGGCTCCCAGAACACTGACCAGTTCATTCTGACTGTGACCATCTCAGTGCCCGCGGCTCTGCACGGGGCGTGACCCTGGTCTGCACTGCTGCCACCTGAACAGCAAAGGAGGAGCAGGAGCGGGCTGGGGCCCAACCTGCTCTGGCAGCCCCCAGAGCGGGGGCGGCGGGCGGGGCCGGGCACTCGCCGAGGCTTAGCCAAGGGGATCCCTTTTGCTTTTCTGATTCGCCGATTCCTGCCCTGGTAAGTAGCAGATTCAATCTCTGCAGCCGCCCTTGGCAGGAGGGCAGGGTGTGGGCACCAGGCGGGACCCTCGCAAAGGCCCTTCATGGAGAAGCCGAGAAGAACACATCCTGGCCAGGAACATCCTGCGCAGGGCCGTGGAAGGCCTGAACCAGGAGCACTGTGCCACGCTGCAGGCAGGAACCCAGAGACCCAGCACGGGCAGGGAGCACCCACGTGGGAACCGTCCACTCCCCACCTAGCGGGCAGGGAGGCCCCTCCCCCCCTTCACAGACCCCCAGGCAGAGCCCTGGCACCCACTGCAGTGCAGACAGACCGAGAGATGGACACAGGGAGGGGCTCTTACTTCGTTTGCTCTTGTCCTTATTGAGGAGTAGCCGCAGCTCCTGCTCCTGCTGACCAGCCTCTGCCTCTCGCTGTGGGGAGTCCATGTTCACCTGCAGGGGGGACCGAGAGCGTCAGCATGGCAGCCAGTAGCCTGTGGGGAAAGGGAGGGAGGAATCCTGCCCCGGGCAGTGTCCTGGAGGAAGGGAAGGGAAGCCCCGCCTCTGCCAGAGCCCTGCGGGGGAGGAAGGCACCCCACCATGGCCTGGGCCCTGTGGGGAGGAGAGGGGGGGAGCCCTGCCTCAGTCTGGCCCCTGTGGGGAGGGGTGGGAGGGGAGTCCTGCCCCAGATCCCTGTGGGGAGGGGAGGGGGAAGCCCTGCCCCAGCCAACATCCTGGGAGGACAAAAGGGGAGCCCCGCCCTGGCCCAGAGGGGAGGAGAGGCAGGAGCTCCACCCTGGGCAAGGCCCTGGGAAGGCAAGGGGAGAGCAGATCTCCTCCCAAAGGTCCACCAGGGGGCTCCCCAGAGGGCCATAGACCTAGGACACCCGGAGCAGGTTGGGCGCAGGCATCAGAGTGGCTCATTCTCCATGAGCCTGTCCATTTAGCAGGGCACCAGCACCAGGGGAGAGGTGACTCCGGGAGGTGCAGCTGCAAAGCCCAAGCCCCTCAGCCCTGAGTCTGGAGACATGATGGAGTGACCGGGCTGCAGAGAGAGTGTTGCCCTGTGGGCTCTATCAAGAGTGACTCTCGGGAGTCACTTGATTGTAGGCCCTCGGGCGGGTGGAGCCCCAGCAGTCTGGTACCTGTCCCCTGAAACAGGGAGGGCGAAGGGCAAAGACAAAGGGTCCCATCCTGGTGCTTCAGGGTCCCATGACTATGGAGCCAATGGGTCCTTCCCCTGCAGGGGAGCTCCTGCCAGTCTTAGGGCTGCTCTCAGGCCGGGGTGATACGAAAGCCAAGACTGGGAGCCAGAGTGCTGTGGAGCTGTCGTTCGGGAAGGAGAGAAAGGCGGGTCCCAGGGACTGGGCAGTGAAAGCAGACTGTTGGGGTCCAGGTTAGGCCCTTCCCCAAGTGTGGGATTTACGGGCTGTGCTGGGCTCCAGACCAAGACAGGGGGAATCCGTATCCCTGGCTGAGCACCCCTTGGGCTTTCTGTCAGCATAGGCAGTCCTGGAACATCCATCCCTTTACTGCAGTGAGAGCTGCAGAATTGGCGACTGTCCCACCGGCCTGGAATGGAGACCTCTGAGAACAGGGCCACTGGCTTTGGCTTCTTCCTGATGGAGGGATCAGTGCTGGGGCTCCAGGGATGGACTGATCCTGCCTACAACACCACATTTACTTTAGGGTCTGGAAGGTTCTGATCTTCGTGGTCAAGGACGTGGCTAGGGCGCAGAGCAGAGATCTGGTGATGCAACCTTTGCTGTCAAGGTTCTGCCATGGCCTGGGGAACTGATCTGGCTTGTCAGCTTGGCTCTGCTCTGGCCAGAACTCTTGGCTCTGCACCATCTGATCCAGCCCCCAGCCCTTCCCTGGGCCCATTCCAGATTTCCTTGCCCCTTGTTCTCAAGCAGCTGTGCTGCCTCTGCCAGAAACAGGGGAGGGGCCACTGCTGGACCATCCCTATGTTCCCAGTAACCAGGAGAACTGTGTTCACATAGACATGGACTGTAGACTTCTCAGGCCTTGACAGGGAAAAGCACTGCTAACCGTGGCCTCCCATGATCCCTGCAAAAAGCCAGACCAGAAGGTGACTTCCTGCTTTTCACCGCCACTGGCCATGCTGCACGGGCCCGGCACTGAGCCATGGCCACGGTATTCAGGGCTGGACAAAAAGCTAATGACAGAAGATGCCTCTGCACCTGCCAGGATAATGGACATCCAAGGCTCTCAAGGGAGTAAGAAGGGAGAGGGTCACGCAGGGTGGAGGGTGCTCGAGAGCAGAGGCTGACAGGGCTGGGCAGCGTGGCTCAGACCCAGAGGCTGGCAGAAGTAGCCCAGCATTTGCCCTGTAACTCCCTCCCTTTCATTTGGGATTCGCTCCTGTCTCAGAGAAGAGAAATAAACGCTGACGTCTGATGAGAGGCCGGGGGAAACAGGGATCTGCCCAGACCACTGTCCGGAACACCATCCCATTGGTACTGCCTGGGAACCCAGATATAACTGCTGCTCCTTGAGCTCCCTCGAGTTCTGATCACTGACAACGGCTTGGTCCTTCTGGGGTCTGGGTGCCTCCTGCTCCCCAACACAGCTGTGCTCAGAGCCAGGGGGTGGCTACCAGCTCCACTCCCCCTGTGCTGACTGACTGGAGCAGGCTCCCAGTGTGTCTGCAGCAGGCAAGTGCCTCCCCAACCCGCCCCAAGGGCTGCTGGGGCGACGTGGCCCCACAACCTGGAGCTTGGCCCTGTGGCCCCCCAGAGGCCCGTGAGGGTGTTCCTACCCGCATGTGCTGGTGGGTGAACTGCTCCACCTGCTGCTGGTGCAGGCTGGCCAAGAAGAGCTGGTGCTGCAGCTGCTGGGTCTGCTTGAGAGCCAGCAGGGCGGTGTCGGAGCCGGGCTTGACGAAGCGCTGTCCGATCCGCAGGTCCATGGGGACAGCCTGAGGCACCCGCAGGGAGACGCACAGGTTCACAGCAGCTGGCAAGAAAGAAGCAGGGAGAGTTCCGTCACTGCCTGGTCTGGCACCCCAATGTGTCCCCACAGGCTGCTGGAGAGAGGAGAGCCCCAGCACAGGCTCCAAAGGGCTGCCCACACCACCACAGTGGGGACCCTTGTCCTGACCCCAGGGGACAAGGAGGGCACCCCCCCACTAGGACAGTGGCATGGAGCCCCTTCGGAGGGAACTTCAGCACCTGTTTCTTTCCTGGGGCAATCATAGAATCATAGACTTTAAGGTCAGAAGGGACCATTATGATCATCTAGTCTGACCTCCTGCACAACGCAGGCCATAGACTCTCACCCACCCACTCCTGTATCAAACCTGTGTCCGAGCTACTGAAGTCCTAAAATTGTGGTTTGAACACTTCAAGGTGCAGAGAATCTTCCAGCAAGTGACCCGTGTCCCACGCTACAGAGGGAGGCGAAAACCCCCCAGGGCCTCTGCCAATCTGCCCTGGAGGAAAATTCCTTCCCGACCCCAAATATGGCGATCAGTTAAACCTTCAGCATGTAGCCAAGACAGCCAGACACCCAGGAAAGAATTCTCTGTAGTAACTCAGATCCCACCCCATCTAACATTCCATCACAGGACATTGGGCATATTTACCTGCTAATAATCAAAGATCAATTAATTCCCAAAATTAGGCTATCCCATCATACCATCCCCTCCATAAACTTATCAAGCTTAGTCTTGAAGCCAGATATGTCTTTTGCCCCCACTGCTCCCCTTGGAAAGTTGTTCCAGAACTTCACTCCTCTGATGGTTAGAAACCTTTGTCTAATTTCAAGTCTAAATTTCCTGATGGCCAGTTTATATCCATTTGTTCTTGTGTCCACATTGGTACTAAGCTTAAATAAATACCTCTCCCTCCCTGGTATTTATCCCTCTGATATTTTTATAAAGAGCAATCATATCTCCCCTCAGCCTTCTTTTGGTTAGGCTAAACAAGCCAAGCTCTTTGAGTCTCCTTTCATAAGACAGGTTTTCCATTCCTTGGATCATCCTGGTAGCCCTTCTCTGTACCTGTTCCAGTTTGAATTCATCCTTCTTAAACATGGGAGACCAAAACTGCACACAGTATTCCAGATGAGGTCTCACCACAGCCTTGTATAACGGTACTAACACCTCCTTATCTCTACTGGAAATACTTCGCCTGATGCATCCCAAGACCGCATTAGCTTTTTTCACGGCCATATCACACTAGCAGCTCATAGTCATCCTGTGATCAACCAACACTCCAAGGTCCTTCTCCTCCTCTGTTATTTCCAACTGATGAGTCCCCACTTATAACAATAATTCTTGTTATTAATCCCTAAATGCATGACCTTGCACTTTTCACTATTAAATTTCATCCTATTACTATTACTCCAGTTTACAAGGTCCTCCAGATCTTCCTGTATGATATCCTGGTCCTTCTCTGTATTGGCAATACCTCCCAGCTTTGTGTCATCCACAAACTTTATTAGCACATTCCCACTTTTTGTGCCAAGGTCAGTAATAAAAAGATTTAATAAGATTGGTCCCAAAACCGATCCCTGAGGAACTCTATTGGTAACCTCCCTCCAGCCTGTCAAGTTCACCTTTCAGTACGACCCATTGTAGTCTCCCCTTCAACCAGTTCCTTATCCACCTTTCAATTTTCATATTGATCCCCATCTTTTCCAATCTAGCTAATAATTCCATGTGTGGAACCGTATCAAATGTCTTACTGAAATTGAGGTAAATTAGATCCACTGCATTTCCTTTGTCTAAAAGATCTGTTACCTTCTCAAAGAAGGAGATCAGGTTGGTTTGGCACAATCTACCTTTTGTAAAACCGTGTTGTATTTTGTCCCAATTACCATTGACCTCAACGTCCTTAACTACTTTCTCCTTCAAAAATTTTTCCAAGTCCTTGCATATTACAGATGTCAAACTAACAGGCCTGTAGTTGCCCGGATCACATTTTTTCCCTTTCTTAAAGATAGGAACTATGTTAGCAATTCTCCAGTCATACGGTACAACCCCTGAGTTTACAGTGAGAAGGGCTGAAGTGGTACATAAAGAAGCTGCTCACCTCGTGCAGTTCTGTGCCTGTGAGGGCCACAGCCCATAAGTTCTGATCTGGATGCAGATCAGTTAGGCGTGGGGTGATTGGATCCAGAGGTCCAGGCCCGGCCCATCCCCAGTGCATAATACTCAAAACAGAAAACCCTACACAAGAGCAACAGCATCTTCTGCAATCAATAGTTCTGGAGCCCTGGCAGCTGGCCTCTGGTGGACTCCAATCCAGCGTGCTCAGCTCACTGCTAGCTCGGGCTGGCTCTCTGCCTGCTGGCCTGACAGAGTATGTCTACACTGCAATTAAAAACCCACGGCTGGCCCGTACCAGCTGACTTGGGCTTGCGGTACAGATGTTCAGACTTGGGCTGGGGCCTGGGCTCTAGGACCTTGTGAGCTGGGAAGGTCCCAGAGCTCAGGCTGCAGTCCAAGCCCAAATGTTTACACCACAATTAAACAGCCGCTTAGCCCAAGCCCCTTAGCCCGAGTCAGCCAGCACAGGCCAGCTGCAGGTGTTTAACTGCGGTGTGGACATATGCGCAGCGTTCCCTGCGAACGTAGAATCCCTTTGGGCTCTTTCCTTATCCTCTCTGTCCCAAAGGTCCTGCTCCTGGAATTGAGTGATCATGCATGCGCCACATGCACCCATCCAGCCAGGCTGACTTCTGCAGGGCTGAGGGAAGTCACAAGTGCTAAAACCGTTGAAGGGCGTCTCTGCCAGAGCAGTCACAGCCGCTGAGCTAAGGTACAATTTTAAACAGATTTTGTTCTATCCGTTCTGGAATCAACTTAAGTTAAAATGAAATGAATCTGGTTTAAACCAAACTAAGATCCAATTTAAGTGAAGCCAGTGCAGCTCCTTTGTGTAGACAAGCGTTCAGGCCCTAAACCCAGCAGGTCTGATTCTGAGCCATCTGACAGGCACTGCTGGGCAAGGCGGCGCCACTGTGAATCACTCTCCTGCAACTATAACCCCACTTAATAATGGAAACCTACTAAAAAACCATCATTAGAGCCCCTTCCTTACCCAAGCCTGAACCACCCACTTGCCCACCACGCACACACTTCTGTCCCCATAACAGCACAAACTCCTCTGCAATCTAAATCCAGGGCCCCGACTGGAGATGTTCAAGCAGTCCTGTGTGTACCTGCAGAACACTCCCCTGAGATGTGTGTTGAAGGATAAATTCCTCCAGTGCATGCAGTGTTGCCAGCTTTCATGCTTTTATTGCAGTTCTCATGATATTTGGAGCTCTTCTTAAAGCCCCAGCTCCTGGAGGCAGGTGATCACATGAGACAGAATCACAATTTTCATTTTTTTAAAAGTGTCCAGGTCTTGTGATTATAGAGAAAAACTTGAGAAAGTGACTCCTAAAGATTCAGAAACTAGAAGGCAAATAAGCAGAACCCCAAAGTCATTAAAATCTCATGATTTTTAAGCCAATTTCATGATGGGCGGATGGGACAGGGGACTCCTGACTTGTTAAATGCTTGGGGTTGGCAGCATTGTCCAAGCAAGTGCACAAGCATGTGTGTCACCAGCAATACCTGCAGAAGCGTTCTGCAGTATCCCCTGAATCACAGCCGCTCTCCCAGTGGGCCCAAGGGATACTTGCTGATGACCCACAGATTGCTGGGGGAGGTATCCCAGGGTGCTGGCTCCTCCTTCATTCCAGCTCTTAAGTTGCACTAAATCAAGGTAACAATGCATTCAGGGCTTTCCTAAGTTTGCAATTGCCGCAGTTCTGTGAAGGCACCCTGCGCCCCATTGTGCTGGGAACTGCACAGTCACGGCATGAGGGCCAGTCCCTGCGCCGAAGACCTTGAGGTTTGAACAGTCAAGGAGGATTATCAGCTGCATTTTGAGGTGGGAAGCTTAGGTCCAGAGAGGTCAGGAGAAAGTGAGGACTCTCTCAGACTCCTTTGAAAACCTCAGTCCACAGAGTCTGTGTCAGAGCCACTAATCACATCTTCACCCTCCAGAGATTAAGAACAAGCCTGAAAACCCCCAGCAACCAGGGCTTTGCTTATTTTGCAGCCAGTGATGAAATCCGGCGACTGGGACTAAACTGCTACAATACAAGGCAGAAATGTTGGAGACAACCTAAGAAAACGCATGGAGCAATGACTCAAGTGTCAGATAAAAAAAAAACTACAGCCAACCTTTTAGACCTTGTGGAACACGACAGATATAGCATGTGCCCTGCCCTTTCCAACATCTCACAGGGGGAGGTGGCAGTGACCCTGACTCTATGGGGTGTCTCTTGCTGAACCCCATTAAGAGTCCCAGGTTCAAAGTGCTCTAAAATCCACATGCATGCGCAGACTGAAAAATGTTATGCCTCACTGGGCCCGTTAGAATTACGGGTGCAAATTTGGGGGGGGTTCCCAAGAAAGCCCCCTGCCTCAAAAAATGAACTGCTTTTAAAATTTTCGGATTCTATCACCTTTTTGGTGCAGAACGAAAGGTACAAATATGGCTCTGACCCTCCTAAAATGTACAGCTCTGACTGCCCTGAGCTCAGCGATTCAATGGTACTAAGGACCAGGGTAGAAATAATTTAAAACTATTCCACTACAAACACTTTGGCACCTTGGCGAACCGTTCACACCTCTGAGTTATTTCCTCAGAAACACACCTTGGGCTGTGCTCTCACATGGTGGCTTAGGGGAGCAGCTTTTGCCCCTCCATCACAAACCCCTGAGTTTGCAGCCTCTCTGCAGGAGGTCTGCCTGCTGTACACATTAACGCTCTCAATCTGCTACGTGCTGGGGGCCACACTGGGACTCCTTTCAGAAGTGTGAGCAATGTGCGCAATTCTGCGTGATGGGGCTGGGTGATTGTGACGGGTTGGATCACAGAAACCCCCTTGGGAGCTGCCACCAGATGTGCAAAGACTACCCCTGCTCCTGTTTTCCCTGCCAGCTCAGGACTCCA